GGGGGCGGAGGGGGGGTGGGCACCGTGGGCGAGCAAAACGGGAAATCACGGAAAATTCACGCCCCACGCTGTTAGCTGGTTTGCCCCAGAGGAAAGCAGGCTCGCCTCTTCCTTGTAAAATCCCTTGTAATGGTAGAAATGCCAGTTATCCACAAGCATTAGCATGAGGTTTTTCCTTTAATTATAAACATATGATGCCTCACGTATTCAAGGATGTCCAGGTGCTCTGCAGACCTGAGGTGCTATTAAAAGGATATTGTTTCACATCTCTGGTATGCACCCACCCTCATTTAGAAGCAAGACTGCTGTTTAACAATAGTGTGGTGTATCAGGATGCACCTTCGGAAGTGTATTTAGTCCTTCCTGAGGTTTCAAATCATTGTGGCAGCCTTGCAGAGAAATGGATTCTAACACGATTCCCACTAGACAACTTTTCGCAAATTCTGTCACCAAAGTCTTAAAGTTAAAAAGGAAAACAATCAAGATAGTACATACCTTTGTTTTAGGAAAAAAAAAAAGCTCAGGAAAATGTGAAAGCACCCCTCTAGTGGTAAATATCTTAGAAAAGGTCATTCTTGGACATTTGAAAGACAATGCTGTTTCTCAAGTAAAACTATTCACTGCATAGAATCATTAAGGTTGGAAGAGACCTCCAAGATCATCAAGTCCAACCGTCAACCCAACACCCCCATGCCCACTAAACCATGTCCCTAAGCGCCTCATCTACCCGTCTTTTAAATACTTCCAGGGATGGGGACTCAACCACTTCCCTGGGCAGCCTGTTCCAAGGTTTAACCACTCTTTCAGTAAAGAAATTTTTCCTCACATCCAATCTAAACCTCCCCTGGCGCAACTTGAGGCCATTTCCTCTCGTCCTTTCGCCAGTTACTTGGGAGAAGAGACCGACACCCCCCTCGCTACAACCTCCTTTCAGGTAGTTGTAGAGAGCAATGAGGTCTCCCCTCAGCCTCCTTTTCTCCAGGCTAAACAACCCCAGCTCCCTCAGCCGCTCCTCATCAGACTTGTTCTCCAGACCCCTCACCAGCCTCGTTGCCCTTCTCTGGACACGCTCCAGCACCTCAACGTCCTTCTTGTAGTGAGGGGCCCAAAACTGAACACAGTATTCGAGGTGCGGCCGCACCAGTGCTGAGTACAGGGGCACGATCACTTCCCTGCTCCTGCTGGCCACACTATTTCTGATACAGGCCAGGATGCTGTTGGCCTTCTTGGCCGCCTGGGCACACTGCCGGCTCGTGTTCAGCCGGCTGTCAACCAGGGGACACTGCAGGGGAGAAGTACAAAACTTGTAGGTGTCCATGTCACATTTGGTGAAAAAAAAATCACTCCAAGGATGAATCTTTATGCCCAGTGTTGCAGGACTGGAAATTTATTTTGTTTGAGTTATAATCAAGAATTTGTATTTTCAACTGGACTTAATGTTTTGCTCTTCTCAAGAAGGGGAACAGGGAAAGATGTAAACAAGTGAGCTGGCAGTCTGTTGTGGGGTAGAAGAGGCACCAAAGGGTCATGTCTCAGCCAGGAACATAGCAAAGCAACGGGACAATGATGAAACAGCTATCAGCACTCTCTGGTCTGGAAAACGGCGTTAAAAACATGAGACTACAGTGTGTAGGCTGCCTCCTGAGATGGCACATACCAGGACTCACATAACAATCCTGTGGCTCAGCACCTCTCCTCTCTGATGATAGGAAAGGGTACCAAGTTACAATTTCCTGTTATTCCTCATGTGAACCTCTGTACTGGTTACTCATCCTAATGGAACCATTTTAATACACTGTATGTGACAAATTCTGGCCCATGCCAGCATGTTCATCTGTAGCTCCTGATCTGAGCCACTCCCAGACCTTTAGTCACACCAGATTTCATGTTAGTCACCTTATATTTTGGGAGGAAAAGTCACTGAGGTGAAACTGGAGACCATGAACTGAAACTGAGCCTGTGCAGTTTGCCGCATGGATTCATTTGCCTTCAGTGCGGGGTACGGCCAGCAGCAGTTGCCGGTTTCAGCCTACATGGTCTGTCCTTTTCTAAAAACAGTTAACTGCACTAAACTGAAAGCCAGAACATATTTTAGGAGCTTGTTAGTGATCAGTTCACACAAATTACCTCCTTGCTGCAAGACAGGAGACACTAGCACTTGTACACTCTCAAAAAGCAGTTCCAGTGAGAAAACTGGAGTGAGTACGCAGTCCGTGTGATATCTGCAAATCTATCAATTCTGTGTCCCTCCACAATTAGTTCAGCATACTTTAAACGTAGGAGGTGTTTGGAGAAGCTAAATTCTGTTCCCCTATGACATTTAGGATAAAGAACTGGAAGACAAAAATGGAAGAACAAAATGCAGCTTTGTTTCAGAAGGCTATAGTAAAGAAATTCTTCCTGTTTTTTCATTTGTTTCTATTTTATGACAAAGGACTCCTAAAGCTCAAAACCGGGTCTCACATAAATAATCAATTCAAGAGTTTTATAGTGGATCTCTGGCTGATGATAAATTTCACTGGTATTCTGATTTGCAAGCCCTAAATTTCAGTGGTTGCATACTGTATTGTCAGTGTATCTGGGCGGCAGGCATTTCCCAGTGCCCAAAGAGTTAACAGCTTTCACTGGTACAGTACTTCCAAATCTGATGCAATGTTTGCCAAACTTTAGTGGAAGCCAGTAGCTTGATGAAGAATGCTTTTGCTCTTAAGCTTCCGTGACAAAATGGAGAAGGAAGAATTATTCAGAAAGATGATGGGATGGACAAGAGGAAAAGTCCAGTAAATGACTGTTAGTTCTCTTCAGATGTCTTGTGATATTCAAAGTTCAACAGCTGACGAATTTTAATGTTAAAGTACAAAGGTGTTTTTCTGTGCCATCTCAGCTCTGCTTGCATAACAATGACTCAGCTCTGCAGACCTGGCTTGCAGCCCGCATTGAGATTCTGTCTGTAAGGGCATTTTCATCGCAAAAGCAGCGCTGAAAGCAGCTACGTGTTTGTGCGTTAAAGAGAATTAGGAACTGTGGATGCTTTTCATCTAATAAACAGGGAGCTAGAAGTAGTGTAATAGCTAACACCACGCTTAAAAGAATTGAGGTAGTTAAAACTACATAGTTTGTCCAGGGGAGAAAAACGTCAGTGCTTGGATTTTAGTGTTACTTATTGTGGAGGGGGAAGCATTCTGGACATTCTCCTCACCATCCAGGGATCCAAGCTGGATCTGAAGACAAAATACAGGAGCTATCACCTCTGGGCCACTGGACAAAGGCTGTTCAGAATGGCCTTGACAGTTATTTGTTTTTGTTCACTGCTAGAGAGGTTCTATTGAAACATATTAATAATGATTAACAGCGTTTCAGGACTTATTTCTTCCATCCTTCCGTTTTTCAAGGTGCTGCTTTGCAAAACCTCACCCCAGAAACCACATGCTAAATCGGCTGAGACGCAGCAGAGAGAACGTGAACAAAGAGAGCTCCTTCACTGCAGTGCAGCTTGGATCAGATCCAAAAGACTCACAGGCAGGAGGCAGACTGAAAAGATGCAGACAAGTAATTTTTAGAATAGACCTAGTTATTAATTGTTGCTTTCACTGGCGTAACATGCAGGCACAAACCTGTGATTTTAGGCCGATGGCGTCTTTATAAAATGCCCTTTAGAAGTCTCCTTACATCAGAAGCATAGTGAATTGCCACATGTTCCTCTGGGTCATTTAGTCCTGCAGAGAAAGACGTGCCCAAGCCTGTTTATCATGGCAGCACAGATTGTAAAGCTGTATCCCATGTGTCCTGCCAAGTCAAAATATGCTTTAAATAAACAGGGAGACAGATGAGTATTGCTCATTTTCCCCTTTTTACTACAAATCTGGATATCTATTTCTTTTTCTTAAGCTTTCAGCTCCTGAAGTTGGTAGCTTACTAAAAACTTTAAGGTATTTTTAGCATAAGGCTTAAAAAACAAAACTCAGATAGTTGTCTTTTTTTGGTAATCTCATAATGTTACAGTCAATCTCATAGTACTTTGAATTGTGACTTGCTATTTTTGTAACCCTTGAGCTTGGCAGTACAAGGACAAGCAGCAAGATGCCATATCTCTATTTGTTTTGTGGCTGGAACTTGAGCAAAGACTAGGCCTTATTGCAGTGTTACAGGTTTGGGGAGAATATATTTATCTCCACAACTGTAAATAGATAAATATAATTATCCTGTGTCATACGCAGTGAGAGAGACCTTAGGTAGGTATGAGTAATATCGTGAGATAGGAATATACATTGTTTTTTCCCTGAACAAAGGAACAGTGCTGAACTTGCTACACAAACTCAAATCGGCTGGCTGGCTGGCTGCCCCAAGTTAAACCCTTGTAACTAAAGATAAACAGATTGCTTCATTTGACATTGCTCATGTAGAAATGATATGCTGTTGCTAGGACATTCGTGTACATAAAAAACAGACCCAGCTTGTGTTCTAGAATGTACAGATTCGTTGGAAACATTTCTTTGTCCCCAGATTCTTCTCTTCTGAAAGTAGGTTGCTTTGTACTACTTCCCAATGACCTACTTTTGAAACCACTTGGAAGGAAATACGTGTTCCCAACTGCAGCCCTGGCAAAGGCTGGAACCACCTGTGCAGTCAGGCAGTCACAAGATACAGATTTCTGCTTTTTCAGCTTTGCATTTATTTATATACAGTTCACAGTCAGCTGCTTGATGATTCTTAATTCACCGAAAGCTACTGGAGGAAGAGTGGCATGTATGTTAAATACATATGCTTTGTACAACCACAACGGTTACTAGACCATTTAAGAATAAACAGCTCTCCTTTGTCTGTATCAAATTCAGGTAGTAAAGTATTTTCTAAAGAAATTCTGAGGTAAAGCTGAAATTCAGTAAAATGAAGTCACAAGGCCATCACCTCCAGCTTAGGAGATTGTTCTGTACACATAATGTGTGAAAATGAGGCAGAATCTGGCCCGCAATATATAAACACTGCACTGACTTTAAAAAGAAGCACCTTTCAACTTGATAATAATTATCATTGAAGTAGTATAAAGAATCTATGCAGATACAAAGTGTGTAACATTCAGGGCACAAGTTTACCCCACAGAAAAAGCCAAGGGACAGAAAAAGAGGTTTTTAAGAAGCTCGCTGTATTCAGCCCACCCCCCCTTCCCCCCAAAAAACAAAAGAGATGGGCTCTGTACAGGCATGTAGACGGCTACCGCAGATTAATGGTTAGGAGAATTAAATGAATCCAATCAATGGAGGCTGCAAAATGCTAATGGTGGCCTGTGTAGAATACCTTGCCCGCAGGCTATGGAGATTAGTTTAATTCTGCTAAGGCCTGGAGTTGTGTGCACAAAGCCTAACTCTTTTGTTTATCTCTTTTTACAGAGGGATAACTGAGGGAAATAATGAGGCTTTTTGCATAGAACTGATGAATTTAATCCATAATTGTTTTTAAAATAGAGTCTGCATTCAATGTCAGCATGTTGCTGCCTGCGCTTGCTTTGGGTAACGTCATTTCCCTGAAGAATGAATTTTTCAGGAGCCATTATTAACAAGGTATTTAAAGAACTACCCATGGTAGACCCATCTTGTTGGGACTTCAGTCTGATCTGTTGATTTGAATACTTAAACAGAAGCTGAACAACAACAGTGAAAGCAGATTAGTCATAGGATTTAGCCATACTTAGAAAAAAACCAAGGGAGGGCTCCTGTGTTTTCTGGTTTACACAGAAAGGGAAAAAAAATGACAGAAATTTCTCCTTCTCCATCTAGAGGGACATTAAAAACCAAAGACATGCACACTAAAATCCTTAATACAAGTCTGGTGTGCTCAAACACAGGCCAATCTTTAGATTAGTCTGTGGTTAATCTCCAGCTTAACAGATGTGGCCTTTCACATTTGTAAGTATTCGTTACTCGTGGCCTTCCTCTCAGGACTCCATGATATTGTTTGGCTGGGGGACACAGTTCCTGGAGCAGTGCCTGGGATATACAGCATACACAGGCCAGCCTTGGAGCAAACATTTAGTCACCTTGGCACCATGCAAACAAAACGAACCTATTGGAAACACTGAGCAAAACTGGCAGTGTAAAGAAAACAAATGTGACGTTGCCTAAATCTGCCTTTTGTCCTAAATTTATGTAGCTGAATAACATTTCCAAGGTTGGTTATTGCCATGGAGCTGACTCTGAACTTTCCAGTTACCATTTTCCTCTCTTCCTGTTTCTACATTGTGAATAAGTATTGTTGGGATGATCTATTTCCTTTTTACTGTAAACAAGGAGGTGCTAGCAGACACAAGCCCTGTTAGAAAGGAAAGGAAATGGTTTTTTTGGTGGGTTTGTTGTCTTTTTTTTTTTTTTTTTAAGGGGGAAAAGAGGAGGTTTTTTACTAAA